CTGGCCACGCCTCTTGGCTGGCAACACGGAGGAGAGCCAGAGTCTAAAGCTGGCCATTCACTGGTCCATTTTCAGCCAAGTCAGTGTGTGGTCCCAACGGGACCCCCTTCAATAGGAGCCAACTACAAATTCATCTTTTCCTGCTGACTCCAAAAATTCAATCAGTGGGTGGCCACCGTCGGCACCCCTCCATTCAACAAAAGTTGACTGAAAAATTGACTTTTCTCCCTGACAGGGCCAAAATTCAAGAAGTTTGTGACCACGTCAGCACCCCTCCATTCAGCAAAAGTTGATTTTTCAATAAAGTTTTGTTGAAGGAGCTGGTCCAAACGGTGACTGTAACCAGTCAGATACACCCCCCAATGTTAGAATACAACAGCCCAGCATCAGCTGGATTCCCCATCCACCCTAAATAGAATAAAGTGTTTTTTCTTGAGGTAATGAAACTATTTTATGGGGGGAAACCTGCCGTGTTGAAGTCAGTAACAGACGGCGGCATGATATATATCATTTTTTATTTTGCCCATGGTTCTACTTTAATAAATAAAGTATCGCTGGCAGTACTCAAACGGCTACAACCACCTTAAGCTTAATATTAACATGAAATAATTATCACGATTACATTTATTATTTGCTTATTTTAAGGGGAGGTAACGGACGCCAAAAGCCTGTTTTATAATGAATGCCTTTATTTATGTAACTCTGACATCTCAGAATCACCACTAGAGTGTAATTTTGGGGGAGGGAACATGTCCTCAATCTGGAGGGGTGGCGGACATTTTGTTGTAGACCAGAGGAGGAGTTTTAGCAGTGGCTGAATTCCTTGTGGGGGTGTGAAGCTGAAGAGTGTGTACCCAAAATAGGAGGAGGTAATAATGTCTTCTTATGAGAGAAGGACAGCATACACTCTAATGTCCCCATCACAATCACCTACTATTGGTATTATACATTAATATAGCTCTGAGGTATGCCGCTGTGTTGTACAGAGAACACTGAGTCAGTCACATCATTCTCTGAACCAGAGGGGCTTACCTTCTAATGTCCCCATCACAATCACACACTATTATTATTATTATACATTTTTCTGACATATTCCATATCTCAGCAGAGATTGTTCCTCCCTTTGGTAAGCAAGGAAACGTATTAAGAAGGACATCATGATGGAGAACCAGCCGCCCCTCACATCACCGGGTAAGAGGAGACTTTCATTTCTTGAGTGTTGAGGATCCCCCTAGATACACACATCCTCTGATATAAAGAAATAGAAACAATGTATTCAGTCAGTGTGTGTGTTTCCTACAGATGAATCCAGGAAGGAGAGATGTCCCCGTCCTCTTCATTCCTGGGATTCCACACAGGAGCATCAGGAGATCCCTCAGGCCCATCCTCTGTATCCCGGGGATTCCACACAAGAACATCATAAGATCCCTCAGGAACACCAGGAGATCCCTCAAATCCGTCCTCTGTATTCCAGAGATTCCACACAAGAACACCAGGAGATCCCTCAAAACCGTCCTCTGTATTCCATAGATTCCACACAGGAACATCAGGAGATCCCTCAAGATGATCAAGTAGGTGGAACCAAACCAAGGTTTTGGTGTGCTTTGTAGACTTTACTGATTCAGTCAAATTGATTTCCCTCTTCTAAAACAATTTGTCTCTATTTAAAACACGTGTTTTCGCTTTTTTTCCAGGTCGCAGGATTGATTATTGTCAAGGTTGAGCCCACAGATGAAGATCCGTATGTGAATAGTGCTGAGCCATGCAAGGAGGAGGAAATCCCTCAAGAGACCAACACAAGTGAGGAATAATCACTAAATCCCCTCCAAAAAAGTAATGGGCATCTCACTTTCCATTTGTTGTTAGGTTGTGTAAATTTGTTCCACTCTGATTAGACAGTCTAGGTTAATAAACCAATCCAATTCCACTAGTGGACGTGGTTGCCAAAGTCTTGAGGTTCTCACAGACCTCCATTGCCACTAGTGTTCTGTATCTATTAGGTATGAGTTCCTTATGCCGTTATCTTCTGCTCTCTAACATTTGGACTAAAGATTGTGCTACCTGCTACAAAAGAACCCATACCTTAGGGGTCCTGATATTGATTCATGTTAACAATGTTCTTGTGAATGGGGTTTGGCTTGGTGCACCTCCTGCTTCTCAGTCTGCCTAGGGTTTGGGTTATGAGTCCTGACTATGGGTTGGTCCCTGTGGTTTGGTATCACATTTTCATGTCTAAAGCAGACCTTTCGTTAGAGGAACATGGAAGCTACCATTGATGATGATGCTAGCTCTCTGTTCTCCTGGCTTCAATGCTGGACCAAGACTGAGTACAGATGAGGACTTTGGTTAACATATAAGTCTATGAGAAGGGGGGCCAATGCAAGTCAAGACCATTACTGAGTTAGATTTAAGTATACAGCTTGCAATAAATGGTAAAGTGACACCTATGTAATTCTACAGATCCATCCAATTACATGAAAACACCAGAGGGATGTCCCAGTCCTCTTTATTCCCAAGTTTCCAAACAGGAGGATCAGAAGATACCACAAAACTATAAGGTATGTCAAACCTAGAACCCTGCAAAGGACTATATAGATTTACAACAAAGCTGCATAATAGGTACACTCTGTAAATCTTGGGCAAATGCGTAGAGGACATTACCTGCAGTGTTCATTACTCATCCCGGCATTGATTGGGTACACCAGTCCCATTGGCTGTGTAAAACTCCCTGGTTACCAATAGGCTGGTGGTCTGAGATTTCCTATTTCCAAGACAGACAGTAATTGGGGAAGATGTCCAGTCCCATCTATCCATATCTCTGTTTGACTTGGGCAAATTATTCATAGCCCTGTCAATAGCTGCCAGGAGAGGAGCACGGCATACGGTAACGTGTCCTCTTCTGGGTTTACCTTGTGGCATCAGAGATGACCTTCTAATCAGCACAGCTATGATAAGAGGTTCTTGGAGACTCTGCTGGCTTCCTTGAACCAGTTGGGTTTCAGTGGCTGTTTGATTTTCCATTAGAGAAATACACTATAAGGCCAAAAGTTGGTGGACATCTGACCATCCCACCTACCTAAAAGACCACATGGCTACCTTTCCAGATGAATAGTGTTTCCAGTGAAGAGTACAGGTAGCGATAAAGCATACCAAGCCATTTTAGACCACTGTGCACGTACAAACTCATGGCAACAGTTTGGTGAAAGCTCTCACTTGTTCCAGCATGACAGTGTCCCTCTGCACAAAGCCAGCTCCATAAAGACATGGTTTGACCAGTTTGGTGTTGAGGAACTTGAGTGACCTGCACAGAGCCCTGACCTCAACCTAGTTAAACCCCTTTGAGATGAATTAAATGCCAATTAAAAGCCAGATCTTCTCGTCCAACATCACTACTTGCTTTTTTAGTTGAACGGGCACAAATTCCCATATACACCCTCCGAAATGTTGTAGAAAGCCTTCCTAGAAGAGTGGAAAGCCTTCAAAGAAGAGATGTTATAACTGCAAGGGGGTGAGGGTATTAGATGGTAAGAAAGGAGAAATCTCTTAGCAGCGACAAAGCAATACAACACTATTTTTAGTAAAGTGAGGAGGGCTTAGAAAGGCCATCATTCTGTTGCTGGGTCATCATTAGAGAAGTTGGTTTCCAGGACCAGAACTTGTTTGGACATTTGGCTTCCATGGAAAAAACATCCACCGGTCACCTACCTACAGCCATCGCTTGGCCCAACTCTTTGTACCAGGTCTAGAGTACATGTGCATTAGATTACCATCAACATTCCCATACTACGTGTCCCTTGGCCCAACTTCTTCGTACCAGGTCTAGAATACATGTGCATTAGACTACCATCAACATTCCTATACTACGTGTCCCTTGGCCCAACTTCTTCGTACCAGGTCTAGAATACATGTGCATTAGACTACCATCAACATTCCTATACTACGTGTCCCTTGGCCCAACTTCTTCGTACCAGGTCTAGAATACATGTGCATTAGACTACCATCAACATTCCTATACTACGTGTCCCTTGGCCCAACTTCTTCGTACCAGGTATAGAGTACATGTGCCAGAAACAAAAAACGGGGTATTCCGGGAGAACAAAACCGATGTGTATATTCCTGTTCAATTAAATCAACTTGGTTATCAAGATTTATTGAACCAATAAACATGTAGAAAAAACAAAGAGCTCTCCCAGATAAAGAGTAACTGGGAGTAGCGGTTCATAAAAATAAATCGAGACCAATAGTATTAATGAAAAAGTACAAAATGTATTATAATAACCAGGATGCCAAAGAACATTAACGTGCTTCTCAAAAATTCTTTTAAAAAACAACGTTGTAACACTCATACATACACTCATTCAAAACCATGGGCCCCACACATATATTGACAATGTTAACCTCCTAGTTGTCCTCAGGGAGTTTTTTTCGTTTGTAATATTAACCCCTGGTAAGCTGTAAGTGATGTTAGATAATGGCCACAGTTTTACTCCAGTAAAAATGGGATATCCTGTATCAAGGTGGAAGTCAAGTTATGGATAATATCCTTTTCGGATTTGTGTCCATTCAGAAATTTCAAAAACAATGTATGCTTTGATACCAGTATTGTAGTGTCCCCGTGATAGGATAGGCTCAAAATTCAGAATTTCTTTAAAACGTCACTATAATGCTAGATATGTCTTTTAGGATCCCAGGTTTAGACGTGAGTCCATAACACCCGTCACTTTTTTGTGACTGAAGAGGGGAGACATGTGAGTTATATTACCATCAATATGTCGTTGTGCTCACTGTTGGTTGTCTCAACCCTGTCGTATCCACTCTGGTCTTAGGGAAGCTTATCCCTTCAGCTGTAGTTGCAGACACGGTGCACCGTGATTTTAAAGTACTCCAGTGTTTGGAAAACGGTGTTTGGCTCCACGTCTGATAAACGGTATTTTCTCCTCCTATGGATGTAGTGGATCTATTGCATGATCTATTCACATGGAGGTTGTCTTGTGTATAGTTTTCTCAACTTTGTGTATAGGGTCACACAGCTGCTCAATCAAGCACACTTCAGCCGATGCATTTCGCCCCTCCTGCCGGGGCTTGGTGAGAGCCTTTCTGAGTAGCTGGTGGGTGGCTATTTAAATAGCCCTTGCACACCTGCTATTTAATTTCAAACTCGGAATATGCTTGTTTGTTTAAGTGAAGATGAGAGTTTGTGTTTATAGAGGACAAGGGATATATTTCAGCGTTCGTTCATTTCGAACATATTCACACCTTGTCATCCAATCATTCAACAAAGTAAAATATGAAGAAAATACCATAGATCTTTCTTTCCCCGTTACTCTCTTTAATGGAACATATAGGGATTATTTTCAGAGAAAAACACTCAGATTCATTTCATTGTTGAGACCCGAAGGTATCATGGTATCCACTGTCCAGTTTAAATATCCAAGTCTTTTCTTTTTGTTGGAGTACTTTGTCAAAGTCTCCCCTTCTTGAGGACAAATTCAATACATAGATCCCTTTAACCTTCAGGCCTTCCAAGGAAGAATTATGGTGATCCGCAAAGTGCATCGCTAAAGGGCTATCAATTTCCTTATTCTTTATATCTCTAAAATGCTCCCCTATCCGTATACGTAACTGTCTTTTGGTCTTACCAATATATAATTTTCTACAAGGACATTCTAGCATATATATTACCTTGTCACTCCCACAGTTTATATATTGGGTTATTTGATAAGTTCTTGTGCCATCCGTATTATGGAAACATTTCGTTCTTTGAATGTAGGGGCATACCTGACATTTACCGCAGGGGTGCATTCCTTTTATTTTTGGCATTTTTGATAGGAACGATCCATCCTTGGCCGGTCTGAATTCTGAGCTGACTAGATGATCCTTCAGATTTTTTGCTCTCCGTGCCGTCAGTAGGGGACGTGGGCCCACTATATTCGCTATGGTGGGGCAGAGTTTTAACACATGCCAATGTCTATTGAAGATCTGTTTTCATTTTGGCCAGCAAGTGCCATACTGAGTAATCATCCTCACGTGATTATCCTGTCCTTGTGTCTCTTTTTTGGGGGATTTGTTTCCTTTAAGAATCTCTAGCCTGTTCCTTTCCCCCACTTTCGCTTTACTCTTTCTAAGGGTCCTATGTGGATAACCTCTCTGTCTAAACCGTTTGTATAAAATTTTTGATTCCTGTAAGCAATCAGAATGTTTTGTGCAGTTTCGTTTAATCCGTAGGAATTGTCCTGTGGGGATTCCTTGTTTTTGTGATAGGGGGTGGTGACTTGTCGCATGAAGGAGTGTATTGGCCGCCGTCCCTTTCCTGAACGTTTAAGTAATTAATCTCCCTGTTCCGATTGTGATTCTGAGATCTAAAAAGGTAATTTCTATAGGGCTATGGGAGAAAGTTAATTTTAAATTTCGTTCATTAATATTTAGTTCTGTAATAAATTTCTTCAAGTCATCCACACTGCCCTGCCATATTACAAGCACGTCATCTATGTACCTGAGCCACGTTTTTACGTGGGCCAGGTACATTGGATGCCCGTACACAGTCTCCTGTTCCCAATAACCTAAATGGAGGCAGGCGTAGGCAGGTGCCCACGGTGCTCCCATTGCGGTTCCCCTGCATTGTCTGTAGTACGAACTTGAAAATTGAAAGTAGTTGTTGGAGAGTGCAAAATCGAGCATGTCCAACAAAAATTCGTTTTGGGCTCCCATTCCAGGAAAATTAAGTTCAAGGAAATATTTCACAGCTCGTAAGCCCCATTCATGTGGGATGGATGTGTAGAGCGATTCTAGATCTACCCCCACTAAAATTATGTTCTCCATGGTTGTTATGTCTTCAATTTTGTTTAATACATCTCCTGTATCTTTTACATATGAAGGCAGGTCGAAGACCATTTCTTTTAAGAGATGATCTAGGTACCTGCCTAAGTTCTCTAAGGGACCTCCTACTGCAGACACAATGGGCCTTCCAGGTGGATTTTTGTCATCTTTGTGAATTTTAGGGATAATATAAAATGTCGGAATGTTGTATATATCGGTCTTCAGAAAACCTAGTTCCTTTTTATTAATTAAGCCTGCTTCATTTGCCATATTTAGCTTAAAGTTATAATCACTAACTAGTTGTTTAAAGGGGACATTAGGTAGTTTTTCATAAATTTGTTTATCATTGAGAAGTCGTTTGACTTCCGTCACATACATATTTTCAGTTAGTAATACCACATTGCCTCCTTTATCACTATTTTTAATGATTAGACCTGCTGCGTCTTTTAGTTCTTTTAATGCTTTCCTCTCTGTGTGGGTTAAGTTGTCTTTACCTTTAAGGTCCCAAGTTGTTTCATTGAGATCCTTTTGAACCAGTTCTCTGAAGAGCGATATATATCTATTATTGGATAATGTGGGCATAGTCTTTGATTTGGTTTTAAATGAGGTAATTCTTCTTGAGTTATCCCCGGGATCATCTCCAAGGTTCTCCTCTAGGAGGGCTTCCAAATCATTCCCCGAGGACAACTAGGAGGTTAACATTGTCAATATATGTGTGGGGCCCATGGTTTTGAATGAGTGTATGTATGAGTGTTACAACGTTGTTTTTTAAAAGAATTTTTGAGAAGCACGTTAATGTTCTTTGGCATCCTGGTTATTATAATACATTTTGTACTTTTTCATTAATACTGTTGGTCTCGATTTATTTTTATGAACCGCTACTCCCAGTTACTCTTTATCTGGGAGACCTCTTTATTTTTTCTATAGAGTACATGTGCATTTGATTACCTTCAACATTCCTATACTACGTGTCCCTTCATTAAAAACAATTGCGTAATCTGTGACAAACTTCTTTGTCTTATCCAGGCTGAAGACCTTGTGGTCATTAAAGTCGAAGATGTGAACGATGACGTCATGTATGGCAGCTCTAACGCTGACTGTAAGTTAGAATTGTCTTTTACTGGGTGTCCATCATTGCCACAACTTTGGAGCAAACCCCAACTGATCCAGAATAGAGGAAAATCCTTTTAAAGGGAACCTTGTATTTATGTCTTCAATGTCTGCTTTCCTCCAGATGGACAACATGGCAGGAATATCCTAAAGAAACCCCCGAAGACCTCTCCAGATGGTGACCTTACCGACACCACCTCTGACCCCTCTGTACACCAGAACTGCTTTACCAGTTGCCCCCGTTCCGCAGCCAAAGACCTCAGCAAGTTCTTCTCTTGTTACGAGTGTGGCCGCTATTTCATTCAAAGGGCCGACCTTGCGTCCCACTTGAAAACCCATTCTGACCAAGCCGGCAGTGAAGGAGCGTTCCCATGCCCCGACTGTGGGAAGGCTTTCGACCATAAACACAAGGTAGTCCAGCACCGCAGGATTCACACTAAGGATAAGCCATTTGCTTGCTCTGAATGCGGGAAGCATTTCATCTGGAAGTCCCTCTTGGCCCGACACCAGAAGGTACACACGGATGAGAAGCCGTACTCTTGCCCCAAGTGTGCAAAGTGTTTCACCTGGAAGTCGAACCTGGTTGACCACCAAAGGATTCACGCGGCACAGAAGCCCTACGCCTGCTTTGAGTGCGGAAAGTGCTTTGGGAGCAAGATCCACCTCAGCAAGCACCAGCGCGTGCACACTGGAATCAAGCCGTACCCATGCACGGACTGCGGGAAGTGTTTCGCACAATTGTCGTCCCTGGTTAAACACCAGGGCACGCACGCCGCTCAGAAACCCTTCTGCTGCCTTGAATGCGGGAAGCGCTTTGCATCAAAGTCCAACCTCCTCTGCCACCACCAAAGGAGCCACAGCGGAGAGAAGCCCTTCTCCTGCTCCGAGTGCGGCAAGCACTTTGCCAAGAAGCCATGGCTGGTGGAGCACCAGAGGACGCACACCGGAGAGAAGCCATTTGCATGCTCCAAGTGCAGCAAGTGCTTCACACAGATGTCCTCCCTCGCCAAGCACTTGAAAATTCACACGGGGGAGAAGCCGTTCTCTTGCTCTGAATGCGGCAAGCGCTTTGCCGGGAAGCCCAACCTGATCCTACACCAGAGAACGCACAGCGGTGAGAGGCCCTACCCCTGCCCTGAGTGCGGCAGCTCCTTCGGCAAGAAGCAGTGCCTGGTCGAACACCTGCGCATTCACACGGGCGAGAAACCGTTTTCCTGCGCAGAGTGCGGGAAGCAATTCACGCAGAGGTCCAACCTCATAAAGCACCGCAGGACTCACACCGGAGAAAAGCCTTACTCCTGTGCGGAGTGTGAGAAGACTTTCGCCAAGAAGTCCAGCCTAGTTGGTCATCAGAGAAGTCACCACAAAGACGGGCCTGTGTTAGAGCTCAAAGACCTTGAACCTTCCTCGCCATGACCATGCTGGGCTTCAAAACATGGTAGAGGTTGGGCCTTGACCTGCAGGCCACCATTTGTTCCAGAAGATGGTGAAGGTGCCTTCAGGCAAGTGTGAGGATGGACATCCCAGGAGCCGGGGACCCTCGTGTTGCTAAATATTATACAGCTGGTGCCTAACCTTTTTATCTGTCTTTTTGATTACAACCCTTTGGGTTCTGTTCTTGTCCAAGCTGGTGGCATGTAGTCACATGACTATTCTTAATATAAACCATAAAGGGCTTCTGGACCTACAGACTTCAATCCCTCAAGAGGATTATACCACCTATAAACCTACCACCTATGTAAACTCTCACAGACCAGAAATCACATGATTTGAATAGTTTTAGGTTATCAGACACTGCTGGAGAGATGGGGTGATGGGGGGAAGGTCTGGACTGGGCAGCCAGGGATGGATCCAATGCTCCAGATAATAATATAAGCTACATTTATATTACCACATGACAGTATTCCTGTGACTATCATTGCCGTGCTGTGCCCTCAGCAATCCCAAGTTATTCTTGACATGCAGCTGGTGATTCGTAGTCACATGACCGTCCTCCGGAGGGATAGCTGCTGTCCCTATGTTTTTCCCCATAGCTCTCTATAACTGTAAACATAAATCCGGTGCTTACAGTGGTACTTAAAGTGGACCTGTCACTAACTTTACACGTTTGTAGAAATAGATTCCTGACAGGTCACAATATACAGCAACAGTATTGTTTTTCCGGAAAGCTTTACCTTATATCGTTAAAAAGCCGCCCTTGGGTTCCAGTCAGTGACTTTGCCTAGGCTGAAATTATGTCATCAGTCTGCTGCACACAGAACAAGCAGTCTCCCCTCGCTCAGTGATTACTCGGACTGTACTTTGCGGCTTTGCTGCAAGTTACGCTTACAGGTTGTGGCAGGAGCTAATCTGTGTCAGACATTTGTGAACTGGCATCTCAGTCCAGGAAGTAGATGGTGACTAGGGATGAGCTCAAGTTTGGATGGAACACGTTCCGAATCTGAGCTCCTCCGAATAAGGAAGTGCCATGGGCGGGCCAGGCATGCTTGTGCTGACTTCACTTACCTTATATGACTACATGGCCATATTAGGTAAATGTAATTTACCAAATATAGGGGTGTAGCCATATAAGGCCAATGACATCACATCCCACCCCTTTGTTACATACGGGTAATTCCCTGCCTGCAGCTCATTGGGCTGCATGAAAGGAGCTTCCTTCCAAGTTTGGGAGAAGCTCCTTCTGGGTTTAGAGGAGCTCAGGTCAGGACCGGGTTCGTTCCAAACCTGAGCTCATCCCTAATAACAATATATCATACCTGAAAAAAAGATGGCTCCGTCCTTCTGGAGAGAAAATCAGATTAAGGCATTGTCGGGTGAGTACTGTGACCTCAGTGAGAGGTAATACATACCTGGAAGTGTTACTCGTGCACATTTTTTGGCATGCTGTGCTATTAGTGAAAACATACAGGTGAAACTCGAATAATTAGAATATCATGCAAAGTTCATTTATTTCACTAAGACAACTTAAAAGGTGAAACTAATATATGAGATAGACTCATTACATGCAAAGCAAGATAATTCAAGCCGTGATTTGTCATAATTGTGATGATTATGGCTTACAGCTCATGAAAACCCCAAGAACCCCAAATTCACAACCTCAAAAAAGTAGAATATTACATGCAATCAATAAAACAAGGATTGTACATAGAACAATATCGGACCTCTGAAAAGTACAAGCATGCATATGTACTCAGTACTTGGTTTGGGCCCCTTTTGCAGCACTTACTGCAATTACTTTTGCACGATATTCTAATTATTCGAGTTTCACCTGTATATCTGATGACAGGTCCACCTTGAGCTGAACATATGCCTATGTCTATTCTATACATTAACAGTAAAATTCCAGCCTGTGACTAGGCCAAGGTGGGCGGGCCTTAAAGGGCATGTAACGTGCTTATTTTAATTGTAGAATTGCATTCGGTAGAGACATTAAAGGATGACTGAATATACGTTTACTTGTTTTATTCTTCAAAATCTCTTCTTATATTCTTCTTCAAATCTATGTACATCCACCTGATGTCCATGTCCCTGGGCAGTGATAGTCATGGCAGCAGAGGAGCTTGTGGGCGTGGCCTGCTTGTAAAGAGTAAACCTTGCCATACATGGTTAGGATTCCGTTTGTCAGAGCATTCGATCTCGTCATCAAGTCAACTTAATTCATTTGAAGACCCTCAAAAATGTCCACCAAACCTGTTCCTTTGATTAGATCCCACTGACCATTAAGAAATTGAATGTTCCAAAAATGAAGGTTTTTGAAAGCAATTCTGCTGGTGTATGACCAGGGTAACCGACACACTTCTCAGGAGAGATGGGATGACAGAATGAACGTGGCTTGGTAGCCACTGTGTGTAATTGCAAAGGACAGAAGAGCGAGAGGAGATGGAGATGATCCCTTATGGAGATGATGGCCAATGCTCTTTACATTAGAGGGTTGGCAAAGGGGTAGGCAACTTCAGCACTCCAACTGGGATGAAACCACAAATCCCATCAGGAGTGGGAGCCTTCCAATGCCTTGTGGGATGTGTAGTTTCACCCTAGCTGGAGTGCCAAGGTTGCCTAACCCTGGGTTAAACCATCTGCTGCCTTGTCTTGGAGATTCCCCCGCACTTCCTTTGATGGTGACACCAAAAAGGTAAAGCTTTGCCTGGAGATGGGCTTTCAAAATAATTTCACAAAAGGTTTCATAAGCTCTCAAATCTAATGGTGGTGGCATCACTCACATGCGGAAATGTTGGATTGCTTCTTTCTCCGTGCCCTCCCGGTCATGAAAAGGAGATCTAGAACTGCCTGGCACGAACAATTCTGGTGGCTACACTGCCTTCTCCCTAGAGCTGTAGCGTCGCCACCTTATCATGCATGGTCCAAGCCGGGACTATGACTTTACATGATTACATCAACTTGTGGAGCACTGTAGAAAAAAAAACAGCTGGTTGAATAAAGTTTATTGAAAGGAAAAAAGAAAATGATGGTCCTCCAATGTGGTAAGCTGAGGGAGAACCGTGCACACATGTGGTGTACAAGAAGCACACAATGTATCAAGGAACTTTATATCCATTTGCATATGTAACAGGTAATGGTCGTATGATGTGTAGAGTGCATGACCTCCAGCAGGAAGTTCTGGGATGTGGCTGGGAGAGACAAAAAGGAACAGTCATCAAGATTTTGAAGTGATAGCGGTATGAAGTTTCTGAGCAAAATTACAAAAAACAAACCCTATAATATAGTGGAGCTATATGGCTCCTTAAGGGGTCATCGGTACAGTAAACTGAGGTTTTACTGTACCAATATCCCCTTAAGGAGCCACTGGGTTCTTACGTGCCCTCCTAGCACTGCTTTGTGTGATCTGGCCTACAGCTGTCCCAAAGCACTCAACAACCCACCAGCAGCAACCAAATGATCAATATCCACTCTGTCAATCTTTGCTTGCAGGTTTTACTGGCTCCAAGTCCGGATGAGAATGGGTCAGGGGTTACAGGACACCAAAAATTGCTTCCAAGTATTCCGTTTGCTCAAATAATATCGTCAGCCCCTTTCACAGGTTGGTAGTGTGCCTTTACACCAAGATCGTCATTCTTCAGTTGTGTTTCTTCAAGCCCAGACTGGCGATCTTCAGTTGTGTACCTTTGAGATGAGACTGGCAATCTTCAGTTTTGTGTCTTCAAGCCAAGACCGGAAATCTTCAGTTGTGTGTCATCAAGTCAACGCCAGCAATCTTTAGTTGTGTGTCTTCAAGACAAGACTGGCAATCTTTAGTTGTGTGACTGGAACCAAAACCATCAATATTCAGTTGTGTTGCTATAAGCCTAGGCTGGCTGTCGTTAGTTGTGTACCATTAAGCCAAAACTGTCTACCTTCAGTTGTGTGCTTTTAGGCCAAGACCAGCAATGGGCTAAGCAGACTTCCCTGAAGGTTCTCCCTTTTTTTACAGCCACCCTCCTATCTTCCAGGCCAATTCCCATTCTTTAGGACTTGGCTCTGGAACTGTTACCTTCCCATACAGCAGTCCTAGGAAGCAAAAGGCCTCTCTTCTCTTCTCACCCTCCCCAGATGGCAGGCCTGGGAAGCTATGGTTGGTCCTTCACAATGGCATCCTCTCCAGTCAAAGCTTGAGAGGGAAGAACCCTTTTTGAAGGTCTCCTCAAATATTTATCTCCCTACTCAGCCCACATCACTGGCAATAAACCTCCTAGTGATTGGCCAGAGTGAAATATAAAATTATAACCCATAACATTGTATCTCCTTGTTCTATCTGCTGGAGGACACTCCCCAGAAGCAGGCAGAAGTAAAGGATGTACTAGGCTTAGGGGAAACCCAACAAATACCATTTAGAGCTCAGGATGGCTACGGCCTGGCTGCCACAAGATTTGGAACAGGGACAATCCATGTCTATGGCAGGGGTTCCAACGGTGCTTTACATTTGGGTTGAGCTCTGCTTACAGATATGATATTTTTTCGTCCCCGGTTTATACGTTCTATAGACAGAAACAAACTATTCCTCTGCTTTGAAAAACGGAAGGAGCAGTTCACAAAAACCCAATATTTTTCTTGGGCTGGATGGCTCAAGGTCTTCCTCTGTATCTTGGGGCTCCCATGGCAGGACCGCTGCTTTTGAGTTCCAAGTTCCACCCACCTGCCTTCTCTGTGACCAGAAACTTTCACAAAATGTGACGAGAGGACCACACAAAGGTGGGCAGGAAATTTGAAACATTCAGGAGGAAGGAACTGGGAACTATGGCAGGGGGAGATCTCGCTCTTGACACTACCCACCAGGCTCCACCTTGGTAGAGACAATAGCTGTGGTCTCCTACAACGAGGTCTCCTAAAGACCTAA